GACGACGACGACGACGACGACGACGACGACGACGGTGGCGGCGGCGGCGACGGCGACGGCGACGGCGACGGCGACGGCGACCAACCCCTGGCCAGTAAACACAAGTGCGCCCCTGCAGGCTGACGGCGGCGGCGGTGGTGTTGACAGCGGGAGCGGCGACAGCGACGACGAAGACGACGACGACACCCACGATGCCGAAGACCATGCGGCGACGGTGACGCCGACGAGGACGACGAGGACGACGAGGACGACGACGACGACGATGACACAGATAATGACACAGACGACGACACAGACGACGACAGTCGACGACACAAATGACGATTCAGACGACGACACAAACGACGACGACGACGACGACGACGAAGACGACGACGACGACGACGGCGGCAGACGACGACAAAGAAGACGACAAAGGCGACGACACAGATGACGACACAGACGACACAGACGACGCAGATGGCACAGACGACGACGACGACACGACGACGACGACACAGACAAACACACAGACGACGAAATCACGACGACACAGACGACGACGACGACGACGACGACGACGACGACGACGACAGCACAGACGACGACACAAACGACGACCCAGACGACGACACAGACGACGACGCAGACGACGACGACGACGAGGGCGGTGACGACGACGACAACGTCGACGCAGACAACACAGACGACACAGACGACACAGACGGCGACGACGACGACGACGACGACGACGGCGTCGTCTGCGTCGTCTGTGTCGTCATTATCGTTGTCGTCGCGCCGTCGTTGTCGACGTCGTCGTCGTCGTCGTCGTTTTCGTCGTCGCCGTCGTTTTCGACGTCGTTGTCGTCGTCTGTGTCGTCTGTGTCGTCTATGTTGTCGTCGTCTGCTTCGTCGCCTGTGTCGCTTTTGTCTTCGACTTCGTCGGCTGTGTCGTCGTCGTCTGTGTCGTCGTCGTCGTCTGTGTCGTCGTGTGTGCCGTCGTCTGCGTCGTCGTCTGTGTCGTCGTCTGTGACGTCGTCTGGATCGTCGTCTGTGTCGTCGTCGTCGTCTGTGTCGTCGTCTGTCGTCGTCGTCTGTGCCGTGGTCGTTGTCGTCGTCTGTGTCGTTGTCTGTGTCGCCGTCGTCGTCGTGTGTGTCGTCCTCGTCGTCGTCGACGTCTGTGCTGTCGTCATCGTCGTCTGTGTCAGCGTCGCCTGTATCGTCGTCGTCTGTGTCGTCTGTGTCACCTGTGTCGTCTGCTATGTCTGTGTCGTCGTCATCGTCGCCGGCATCGTCGTCCATGTCGTCTGTTTCGTCTGCGTCGTCGTCGTCGCCCTCGTTGTCGCCGTCGTCGTCGAAATATGTGTTGTTGTCTGTGTCGTCGTCTGTATCCACGTCTGTGTCGTCGTCTGTTTCATCGTCTGTGTCGTCGTCGTCTGTGTCGTCTTTGTCGCCTGTGTCGCCTGTGCCGCCTGCGTCGTCAAGTGTGTCGTCGTCTGTGTCATCGTGTGTGGCGTCTGTGTCTCCTGTGTCGTCTGTGTCGGCTGTGTCGTCTGGGCCGTCTGCGTCGTCTCTGTCGTCGTCGTCGGCGTCGACGTCCTCGTCTGTGTCGGCGTCGTCGTCGTCGTCTGTGTCGTCCGTGTCGCCTGCGTCGTCGCCGACGTCTGTGTCGTCGTCGTCGTCGTCATTGCCGTCGCCTGCGTCGCCGTCGTCTGTGTCGTCTGTGTAATCGTCTGCGTCGTCGTCGTCTGTGTCGTCGTCGTCAGTGTCGTGTTCTGTGACGTCGGTTGTGTCGTCTGTGTCGTTTATGTCGTCTGTGTCGGCTGTGTCGTCGTCGTCTGTGTCGTCGTCGTCAGTGTCGTCGTCGGCTGTCTCGTCGTCGTCTGTGTCGGCGCCTGTTTCGCGTCTGCGTTGTCGTCGTCTGTGTCGTCTGTGCTGTCGTCGTCGCTCTCTGTGTCGTCGTCTGTGTCGTCTCTGTGTCGACGTCGTCGCCTGTGTCGTCAACGCCGTCGTCTGCATCATCGTCGTCGTCGTTTGTGTCGTCATCTGTGTGGTCGTCGTCGTCGTATGTGTCGTCTGTGTCGTCGTCGTCTGTGCCGCCTTTTGTGTCGTCGCTTGTGTCGTCGTCTGTGTCGTCTGTGTCGTCTGTGTCGTCTGTGTCATCGTAGTCGCCGTCGCCTGTGTCGGCTGTGTCGTTTGTGTCGTTGTCTATGTCGTCTGCGTCATCTGTGTCGTCGTCGCCTAAGTCGTCGCCTGTGTCGTCGTCTGTGTCGTCGTCTGTGTCGCTGTCTGTGCCGTCGTTTGGATCGTCGTCGTCGTCGTGATTTCGTCGTCTGTGTGCTTGTCTGTGTCGTCATCGTCGTGTCGCCGTCGTCGCCGTCGTTGCCATATGCGTCGTCTGTGTCGTCTGTGTCGTCATCGTCACCGTCGCTCGCGTCGTCGTCTGTGTCGTCGTCTGCGTCGTCGTCTGTGTCGTCGTCGTCGTCATCGATGTCGTCGTCCGTGTAGTCGTCGTCTGTTTTGTCTGCTTCGTCGTCGTCGTCTATGTCGTCTGTGTCGTCGGTGTCGTCTGTGTCGTCGTCGTCGTCTGTGTCGGCTGTGTCGTTTGTGTCGTCGTCGTTGACGTCATCGCCTGTGTCGTCGTCGCCGTCGCAGTCTGTGTTGTCGCCAACTGTGTCGTCGTCGTCGTCTGTGTCGTCGTCTTTGCCGACATGTGTGTCGTCTTTGTGTCGTCGTCCGTGGCGTCGTCTGTGGCGTCGTCTGCGTCGTCGTTTGGATCGTCGTCTGTGTCGTAATCTGTGGCATCGTTTGTGACGTCGTCTGTGTCGTCGCCTGTGTCGTCCGTTGCGTCGTCTGTGTCGTCGTCGGTCGTCGGTCGTCGTCGTCGTCGTCTGTGTCGTCGTCTGTGTCGTCGTCGTCATCGTCATCATCGTCGTCGCCGTTGTCGTCGTCGTCTGCGTCGTCTGTGTCGTCTGTGTCGTTTGTGTCGTCCGCGTCGTCTGTGTCGTCGTCGTCTGCGTCGTCTGTGTTGTCATCGTCGCCGTCGTCTGTGTCGTCTTCGTCGTCTGTGTCGTCGTCTTTTTTTTTTTAGAAAAAGAATAATAAGAAAAGAAAAACAAAAAAAAAAAAAAAAAAATGAACAACAACCCGCCTGTCTCGAATCAGTGCTACGGCCGGGCGGGCAAGCAGTCTGCGGCTAGAAAACGCGGTTCCCAGGGCGCACCTTGCCGAACATACTGGAGTGCGTCGTCGTCTACGTCGTCGTCTGCGTCGTCGTTTCGCCTGCGTCGTCTGCGTCGCCTGCGCCGTCTGCGACGACGACACAGACGACGACACAGACGACCCAGACAATACAGACGACGACCACGACAATGACGACGACAGTCAACGATGACGACACAAACGACATAGACGACATGTTTTGCGTCGGCGGCGAGGCAGGGGTCGTCTGCTCTAGCGGAAAAGACCGAAACGGGGCTGCTTTTCGAGCGAATTGTGCCACCACGCAGGCGAATTGTGCCACCACGCGGGAGGGGGAGGACAAGGACGCGGCCGAAAAAGGGAGCGGGGGGAGCGAGCCGCTCAGGGGTACGGGTCACGCTCCGAACGCGTGGCGCGGCCAGCCCCGCTGGCGGGCCCGCGGCGGCTGCTGCACCAGGGGGCCGCCGGCGGCGGGGCGCAGTGCGAGAGACGAGCTCCCAGGGGATAAGGGTGCAAAAACGAACAGCATCAAAGCCTGACGGCCGCCCTTCCCCAGGGCTGGGGCAGCGGCTGCAAGCACCCGAGCAGCGCCATGGCGGCGCGTGAGGGAGGGAGAGCGAACGGGAGAGAAAAAGCGAAAGGGAGGAGGACGCCCCACCTCTGAGTCCCACGGGCGAGGCGACTGGGCGGCGGCACCGGCAAAGCGCACCACCCGCACCCCCGGGGGTACCACAGCCCGCGAACGAATGGGGGCGGGGGCCCACCGAGGCCTGCAAGAGCTCGGGCGGCCAGGGGAGGTCCGGCCGAGCCCTTGCAGAGCCGTCGAGAGGGACATGGTAGCGGTTGCGAGGCACCGAACTGGTGCAGGCGGAAGGGGGAGTGCTCCCTTGCGGGGTCGACACAGACGACACAAATGACAACGACGGCGACGACGGCGACGACGACGACGACAGAGACGACACAGACGACACAGACGACACAGACGACACAGACGACACAGACGGCACAGACGACGACACAGACGACGACACAGACGACGACACAGACGACGACGACGACGACGACGACGACGACGAAGACGACGACGACGACACAGACGACGACGACACAGACGACGACGACGACGACGACGACGACGACGACGACGACGACGACGACAACTACGACGACGACGACTACGACGACGACAACGACAACGAAGACGACACGGACGACACAGACGATACAGACGACGTAGGCGACGACGACAGGCGACGACGACGACGACGACGACGACACAGACACAGACACAGACACAGACACAGACACAGACACAGACACAGACACAGACACAGACACAGACACAGACACAGATGACGACGACGACGACGATGACGACGACGACTACGACGACGACGACTACGACGACGACAACGACAACGAAGACGACACGGACGACACAGACGATACAGACGACGTAGGCGGCGACGACGACGACGACGACGACGACGACGACGACGACGACGACGACGACGACGACGACGACGACGACGACGACGGCGGCGGCGGCGGCGGCGACGGCGACGGCGACGACGACACAGACGCAGACACAGACACGGACACAGACACAGACACAGACACAGACACAGACACAGACACAGACACAGACACAGACACAGATGACGACGACGACGACGACGACGACGACGACGACGACGACGACAACGCCGACGACGACGACGACGACGACAGCGACGACGACGACGACGACGACGACGACGACGACGACGACGACGACGACGGCGGCGGCGGCGGCGGCGGCGACGGCCGCCGTCCGCAGCCTGGGGCACGAGGCTGGTCGGGGTCCTGCCGAAGGTGCGGGAGGTTGTCGACTCCTCGGGCCCCGAGCACCCCAGGGTGCATCGGCTGGAACCCGTGCGCGCCAAGCACCTCGGTCGCGAGGGGTGGGAAGGAGGGGTGAGGGGGGAGGGGGGGCCCACCCGATCCCTCGGATCCTCCCTCGTCGACGCGATGAAATGGCGGGTCAGCGGGTACGCTTGCAGGCACGGTCGGCGGGCAGGCACGGTCAGCGAGCAGCTGCGCTGAGCCGCGAATTCGATTACCAATTTTGGGTTCGGTTCGAAGCCTTGTCGCCTTATCCCTTTCGGCCTCACCACGGGATCTGCTCAACAAACACCATGAAATGACAGACCAGCCGCAGGCGAAAGTGGGCCAGTCGAGCAGGAGAGACCCTCGGAACCTCGGCCTGCTCCAGAACTGGCACTGGAGGCGCACTGGCGGACAAGGATCTAAACTGCATTGCAACTGAAGGCACATGGGCAGACGGTAGCAGTGAGCCATCAGTCTGAACCCCCCTCAGTCCCGAGGACAAGCTACGCGCGCGCCCCAGATCTGACATCCGACCCCTCCCACCCATTCGTTTCCATTACGCTGTGCTGTTTTGTTGTATCCGCTGGCTGGGATGTCCTAGCTGACCTTGAACCCCCAAGTGGCCCCAGCGTGCGAACGCAATCAGCACAAGATGAAAAGGATGAAAATAAGCAGGGAGGAGTACGAGGAGGCAGAAGACCAGGAGAACACCGAGGAGGGACGAGGGGAACGGCAACGACGAGAAACGAATCGGAACCGGAAGTGAGGCCCAGGATGGGGCGAGAGCGCCAATTGGAACGACGGGAGCAAAGCGCCCATCCTGAAACGAGGCCAACGATGCCGCATTGAAAGTACAATGCAAAACGCTCAGTCGGCACAATCCTGCGCGCTACAAAACAGCTTGTGGAACAGAGGGGAAACGAGAACAGCGGCGTGGCGGAGAGGAGACCAGCGTCAATATCGCGTGCGTGTGATGAGGAGGGGGCAACGGGAGGTGAAGGAACCAGCGGATCGAACGGCTCCGCCACCTAGATGAGGCAGCCCAAATTGAAAAGGAAAAACCGCGACGGCCAAAGGAAAAGGAGGGGCTGCAGCTGGCCAGTGCGTCCGAACAAGAACCGAAAACAAGTGCCCACAACCACGCCGCCGCCGGACCAGGCCCCGCCGCCCCCCCCCGGCAAGCCCTCCCGCGCGCCTTGTGGTGCGCGGGCACCTGCGAGTCCTCCGCCTGCGTGGCGGCTGGTGGGGCCGCCGCGCTCTTGGCAGCCTTGGCGGGTGCCTTGGCGTCGCTGGCTGGCGGCGACTCCGCGGGCACCTGCGCCGCGCGCACGCCGGCGCCCACAGCGGCGGCGGCGGCTCGAGGACCCGCAGAGGGAGCTGCACGGCTCGAGGTCGAATAACCGAGAGGGCTGGCGTGTCCCCGCGTGTCGAGCTCGGCTTCCGGCAAGAAAGAGGACTGCGCGTCTCCTGAAGTCAGAGTCGGCCTCTGAAAAGCTGAGGACTGCCTGCTCTGTGAGGTCGAGTTCGGCGTCAGAGAACAAGGGGTTTCACACAACACGCAGTTCTCTCAGAAGTATGTGGGACACCGCGACCGATCTCGCCATGGTCGGCACCGCCTGCTCCCTCTCCCTCCGCCTTGCCCCTGTGCCTCCCTCCTCCTCGTCCTCCCGAAAGCTGGGGCCATCAACAAACAGACCAGGGCGAAGTTAACTGCCCAGGGGAATGGGTAGAGGGCTCTGGGACCCACGGGTTTAAAAAACTACGATGTTGGTCTGTGTCCGCCCCTCGCTCACTCCTCAGTCCTCCCCCAGAGGCGCACTGGCAACACACACTTTCTGGACTGCATCCTGGCTTTAAGTTCCCCGTCGCAGCAGGCCACGGAGGAACCCCATACATGCAGAAGCGGCCGATCTTTCCCTCCCCACCCGTCTCGTGCTCCTCCCCCTCCTCCTCCTCCTTCTTCTGCTGCTCCCTTCGTTCCCACAGCGAGCAGCGCGCTCGCACTTGAACTGAACGGGGAAGCGGCGCAAGCCCGGCGGGGCCCAGCGCCGATCGGTCCCTCTCCTGCAGATCACCTCACCCGGTCGCCCCCAGGCAGCGCAACGCAAGGTTTGTCCGAACCGCGCGCTGGCCTGGCGCGCCTACTTTCCGGGGCGCGCCTTCGGTCAGCCTGCTGGGACTCGGGCCGCGCCGAATCATCTCCTCCCACCGCCTGTGGCTTGGCGACGTGGTTTCCGTACCGAGCCTCATCGCTCCACCGTTGTCCTCCCTCCTCCTGCCCTCCCCCCCTCCTCCCACCCCAACCCTCATCCCTCCTCCCTCCTCCTTCATCTGTCCATCTACCCTCACTCCCTCCCTTCCCCCCCGCCCGCCTCTCATTTCTCCCTTTCCTTCGCCCAGGGGCTCCTCTCTCCCTCCCTCGCTTCCCTCCCTGCTCCCTCTATCCTCCCATCCCTCCCGCTTCTCCCGTTCCTCCCCACACCTCGCAAAGCCATAGTCTCACCTCACATCCCTCTACCTCATCCGCCTCCCTCCTCCGCATCTCCACGACATCTCATGTCGACCCCGCTCCTGTCCAAGAAGACACTGCCGTCTCAAATACTGTCAGTTGTGGGTCCTCGTCGCTCAGAGCCCTCTGTCGTCCCATCGTCAAATACAGGCACGCTTCAAGCAAAGGCACTGGCGAATGCCAAGGTGGCGCAAGCCGAAGCGACGGTGAACAGCGAGAGACAACGCAAAGGCTGAGAGTAAGGCTAGCACTAGGGCTCAACAATCACAAAGGAGAAAGGCCACAAGAGAAAGGAGGTTACAAGCCCAAAGATGATGGACCGAAGGTTCAGGCGCAGGGTTGACGTTGAATGCTAGCGCTAATGGCCACGTGTTCAAGGCTTAAGAGGACAATGCCTGACGGGTGAATGCCAGATGCCGAAGGCAAGGGCTAATCGCGAAAGACAATGCAACCTAAGGCCACATGATAAAAGCGAAGGACTGAGGGCTGAATGCTAAGAGCCGAAGCAGAAGGCTAAACGTTCAGCTCAACAAATCACCATACATGGATCCCCCCTCCCTCCCCCTCCCCCTCCCCCACCCAAGAACACTTTTTGCGTCGGCGGCTAGGCAGAGTCACTGCGCTAGCGAAAGAAGCGTGGTGTGGTGCACGGAACGCGAATCGGGCCACCATACAAGAGGAGGGGGAGGAGGCGCCCGGCGACTGCGTGGAGGAGAGGGAGAAGCCGGGCCCGCTCACAGCAGGGCCAGGCGCGTGGCAAGATCCCCACCCAAGAACGCGCACACACACACACACACACACACATACACACACACACATACACTTTTTGGCTCTAGCGGCCTCGCGCGCAATGACGAGGCGGAGAAAGTGCAACAGTCAGAACCGCGCGCGCGGCGGTCGGAGCCTCAACATCGCTTAGGATGCAAACCTACCGGCATCGGCCATCTGGGCATATATGGCAGGGAGGGTGCACGCAAGACCATGGAAGAGACTCACCACGGCCGCGTGAGAGTTGGAGAACGCCACAAACCATGGCGTGGACAGCGAGGATAAAATTGAACACCAGTGAGACTGCCCCACGGCGGCATGAAGAAAGCAACGAGAGCGGCAATCGACCGAGGACGAGGGAGAAGATGCAGGAGTAAGGCCCCAATGCAGGCGCAAAGCAAGAAAAGAAAGGAGGCCAGGCAGGAGACAAAAGAGAGCACAACCAAAGGCAGGTGAGGCAGGCACGGAAGCCCTCCTCATCCTGAAGATTCATGGAGGCTTCCGGACATCCGAAAACGACAAAAAACTTTCAAGAGCCTCGATCCTGGTCATCCTCCTCCTCTTGCTCCTCCTCCTTCTCCTCCTCCTCCTCCTCATCATCATCATCATCATCAGCATCATCATCATCATCATCATCATCAGCATCAGCATCATCATCATCATCATCATCATCATCATCATCATCATCATCACCACCACCACCACCACCATCGTCATCATCATCATACTCATTCTCATCATCATAATCAGCATCATCATCATCATCATCATCCGCATCAGCATCAGCATCAGCATCAGCATCAGCATCAGCATCATCATCATCATCATCAGCAGCATCAGCAGAAGCAGCAGAAGCAGCATCAGCATCATCATCATCATCATCATCATCATCATCATCATCATCATCATCATCATCATCATCATCATCATCATCATCGTCATCGTCATCGTCATCGTCGTCGTCGATCGTTGCTTGTGCTGCTTCTCCGCTTCCTTCTCCTCCCCCCTCCCTCCCCACTGGCAGCCTGCGATGGCTCCTCGTCCCCTGCGTACATCAAGATTACGGTGATCGGGTCCCAGGCAAGCAGCCTGCACCCCCAATCATCCGACTCATTGCCCCCATCCCCCCGATCCCGATCCATCCTCCCCAGCAACCAGATCAACCATATCATCCCATCAACCCATCCACCCCCGTTGGGCACGCGTGATGTCTGGCCCCCATGGGGCGCATCAAGGGGGATGGACGGCGTTCGACTGAGTCATCGGGACGCCCTCAAGGAACCTGCTGAACATGCTGCACGTCGCGCGCCGTGCGCCGCCAACTACAACAATAGGATCAGGTGCGGAACCAGATAACCTCGTGGACCGTGGGGCCAAACATATTGCACTCCCCCGCTGAAACCAGGAGCCAGGGCAAGAGGGCCACGGGTCATCAGCTCAGTTTGGTACTACCGCTTGCGAGAAAGGCGCTTAGTAGAAGGTCAGGTAGGGGACGGGGAACCCAGACACCCTCGGCTACAGCGCTGAGGCTACCGGGAGCAAGTACGGGAAACAGTTGCCGCAGATGTGGAGAGCAAAAGGGGAGCCCGATGACATCACCTCCGATGCAGGGACCAGCACTCGCGAGGCAGGCAGTATGGGGCGCCTCAACGTCACCAGTTACGCAGCTGCAGCAGCCGGATGCGAAAACGCTTGGCAGTGGCGGCAGGCGCGGGCAGCACCCCACGTCAGCGCATCCAGAGTCCATGCCACCACGTGGGAGAAATGCTGGCGGCGGTAGCACGGGGGTGGGACGGGACATCCTGGCGTCGTTTGCTGAAGCCCAGGGACAACCGCGAGCGCGCGAAGCGGGCAACAGTACTAAGAGCAACGCGTACGAGGACAGAAGACGGTGGCAGCACGAAGCCGCAGCTCACCGAGATTTGGAATACCAATATGGAGCCCGATGTCATCAGCTCCACTGCGGGAACCAACGCATGCGAGAAGGAAGGGCGGCAGCAGCATCTGCAGTCGGGGCAGACGCTGATCTGCGAGTGGGAAACCAAGCTGGAGCCAGACGACATGCGTTACATTGCTAGGGCTAGCGCATGCGATGAAGGAGGCAAGGGGCAGCAGGCACAAACTTCGATCAGCAGGGCTAGGGGTCCGAACCAGGAGCCAGGTATCATCAGCTTGACAGGCTGGGGCAGACCCCGAAACGCTTGCGAAGTGTCATTATAATTATTGCCAACATGTGTGTCAATATTGAGTACGGGATGCATTCGTGCGCACTCGTTGTTCACTCAGCTCGGTCAGCAATGATTTCCACTACATTCGTGTACGGTACGAGCACATCTGGGCAGCATGCAAACACTTCGCGCCACCAATACGAGTCAGCGTCTTGTCCCTCAAGACAGCGGTTGCATGCATCTTCAGCCTAGTGATGTGGACAGGCAGCATAATGAAGCATCTCCCTCACCCTCCCTTCCTCCTCCCATCCCTTCCTCACCTCCCCTCCCCACCCACTCCCTCCCCATCCACTCCCGTCCCTCCTCACACCCGTCGCCTCCCCACTCAAACACCTCCCGCCCCTCCCTCCATTCCACCTTCCGTACTCCTCCTCCTACTCCTCCTCCTCCTCTTGCTTATCATACCTCATGTGTCATCCTGCCTACGAGTATGATATGATTATCATAATTCCTCATCATTCCTCATTCTCGCCATCGTCCGTGCGTGTTTCCTGGTCGTCATCTTCCTTCCCATCCTTCTGCCGCCTCCCCGTTCTCATCGTTCTCCTCGTGACCTTCCCCTCCCCTGCCGCAGCTTCCTGCTCCCCTTTCTCCACCACCTCATCCTCCTAAACAGCGTGCCTATTGCCAGCATCAGAGCAGCCCAGCCCATCCTCAAGATGGGCTCGAGCTGGTCCTTCGCACTCAGCTGGTAGTACAGGTAGCCAGCTGTGTGCTTGAAGTTCCCCAGGTGCTCAAACCGCAGTGAGCTGCCTCCCGCGGCCCTCTGCGGGGAGGTCCTCCACCTCTCCCTCCCCCCACTCCTCCAGAGAGAAACAATATGTGGCGACTTGGAATACAAAAAAGCGCCACATGTTGCTCCAATGCCTCAGCTCTTGGGCGCCGTTTCGAAACCCGAGGGGGGGTTCAACAACAGGATGAAAGACAACTTGCAAAAGTCGGTGGAGATCTCCAGGACCCACGAGATCGGAGGTCTGAGCCCCATTCCCATGCCCCCAGCGTCCCTACCGCCTCCCTCTCTCATCCTATCTCCCGCCCTCCTCCCTCCCTCGTCCCTCCCTCCCCCCCCTTCCTCCTCAATCCCTGCTCGTTCGTTCCTCTCGGCTCCTTGTCGCCTGATCCCTGCTACTGCTCACAACCGCTCACCATCCTCCTCTCCCTTCTCCGCCGCTCCTACCATCCTCCATATTTCCCCCCCTTTTCCATCCCTCCTTCAGTATTACCCATATTTCCTGCATGCCCCCCACGGCCATCATCATCAACAGCATCATCAGCATCATTGTCATAATCATCGCCACCATCATTGTAGTCACCATCGTTTTCATCATCGCATCATCTTCACCATCAACACCAACAGCACCACCACCACCACCACCATCATCGCCATCTTCATCACCACCACCATCACCACCACCATCGCCATCAGAATCATGCACCTAAGCATCAGAAGTGTCACTCCAGGAGCACGCGCACGGGCTGGCTTAACTGAGATGAGCGTGTGGCGGCCCGCGCATGGTGCAAGCGGCAAGTTCGGCCCTTGGGCCTGCCGGACAGACGCGCCCAGACGCGAGGCAGGCGACAGTGGAGAGGCAGCTCACCCACTCTTGCGATGTTGCCATTTATGGTGCTGCGCTATGCGGGGCCACCACGGCAGGGAAAGGCGCGCGCCGAAGGGGCCTGCGCAGCCCTGCCTTCCGCCCAGGCGGCCACCGAGCCAGGAAGTCATCGCGCGCCTGGCCGAGGCCCGATGGACAGGCACTTCGGATGAGGCGCGCGCATGGAATACACGGCGCTTGCCGGGGGAGGGGGGGCCCAGAGGCATCATCATCACCATCAACAGCAACAGCAGCATCGTCATAATCAGAATCATGATCATGAACAACCACACCATAATCATATTCATCCTCATCATCATAACAATTGTCAGTATCAGCATCATCATCATCATCATCATCATCATCATCATCATCATCATCATCATCATCATCATCATCATCATCATCGACATCATCATCATAATCATCATCATCACCAGCATCATCATCATCATCATCATCATCATCATCATCATCATCATCATCATCACCATCACTACAACAGTCAATCTGGCGAACAACCCAAACCTTTCTCTACGCGAAGCGGCCGCAAACAGGACGCGCCGACTGGCCGCGGCGGCGGCATGCGAACGCACCCACTGGGGCCCTAGGTAGAGCCGTCTAGGAGGCAGGAAAAGGGTGAGGTGCGTGCCGGAATCGGCGCGGCGGCGCCATGCGAACGCACCCAGTGGGGCCCCAGGTAAAGCTCCTTTAGTGACAGGAAATGCGTGAAGGGTGTGCCCAAGTGGGCGCGGCGGCACTGTGCGAACGCAACCACCAGGGCCCCAGGCGGAGCGCCCTGCGACGCACGATGCTCGGGAGCGGCACGCAGGAATAAGCGCGGCGGCGCCACGAGAACGCACTCGGCCCCATGCGGAGCGCCCCGGGGGGGGAAGGGCGTATGTGTATATATATATATATAGAGAGAGAGAGAGAGAGAGAGAAAAAAAAACAAAACAAAAAAAAAAGCGAGAGAAATGAGAGGGAGAGAGAAAGAGAAAGAGAGAGCGCGCCACGCAAATCAGAGGTGTGTAATATACAAAGTGAGAGAAACTAAAAATTTACACTGCAACCTGCGCGCAGAAATTGCGCGCTGCACGTCGCCACGTCCGGGCGCTCCCTTGCCAGTGGAAGCAATATGACCCCGTCGCCGGCCGCTTGGCATGCCATGGCGAATACACCCCGGTTCCAGCCGGTTCCACGCGTTTTTCGACCGACCGCGTTTCCTGCGACCTCCCAAGCAAGATAAACAAGATGTCCCGGGGGGCGACGACGCAGCGTCGGACAGCGCTGTCGTCCTGCATCAAGGCCATCTTCCCCGGAAGCACGAGTTGCATGTATGATACTGCTAAACGGCTGCTTTATGTTTTACAATTACAAAAAAATTCGGGCGGCGTCGTTCGAGACTCGACTGATGAAAAAACGTGCAGCGCCGGCCACTTTTCGGAGACACCGCGCTTGGAAAGCATCTAACTTGTGGGTTTCCACTTTCTTGAACCACAAAGTGCGCAAGCAGCACATCAGACATGAAACGACGCAACACTGGAAGATCCGCACCCTCTTGATCACTGCAATTCTCACATGCTTCCAAACGTTGCACAAAGAATTGGACTGCCTGTGCGCGATGCCGATCCTTCTGCTCAGTTCAGAGCCACAGTCGGCATTCAGCAACCCACACAAAATAGACCATGCCGCCCCGCTGCGGGATTGCTGCTCCGTCTGGTCGCGCCACGCGCGTCTCGCACCCCACCGGAAGCGCCTCGAGCTTGCCCCAATTAAATCCCAACGCCTAATTAATCCGGGCTTCGCGTGCGAATTCCATCAGGTGGTGCACGCAATCCTCTTCGGTTCCCACGATGAGGGCGTCGTGGGCTCACTGGCCGGGACAGATCGTGATTGTGTCATCCAAGTGCAAAATTATTTCCGTTTTGCGTCGCGCATGCGGACGGTCATCACGATTGAGAACAATCAGGGTGATAGTAGACAGCCACGCGATATGATATGCCGAACGCCTGCGGCCAAAGCTCGGAGTCGAAGCCAGCCTCCGGGACTCGGAAAATCCCGCTGCTGTAGATGCCCTTCATTGCAGCGGCCAAGTGTCCAGGGAAGCCGAAACGGATCAAAGCCTGCAGGAAGCCATCTAACGACACGCTGTCAAAATATCTGGCCCACTCGAGGGCAAAAAGGAACATGTTCCACGACGCTGTGTCCATTGTGTCTTCGACGAAGCACCTGGCGACGAACAGTGCGTCGACCGTTCTGGCACCCGACCGGAAGCCGCACTGCGCACCCCAAATCCGGCTTTCGGCGCCAGCGTCCTTCAAACGAGCGAATAGAATCGCAGCATCGAGCTTGTACCCGATGAGCAAAAATGACATCGGCAGACGCCTCTGTCCAAAACCGACTGCAGAAAAGAGCGGCCCACTTGCATGCTGGCGCGCTTGCGCTGCTGATCACCTCCCAACTCGGCGGGGACATCGTCCTTCCCTGGCGCCCGACTCCGTTTGGGCTTGCGTGCTGCTGCAAGCACTTCCTCCTGGGTCACCGGGCCTGCTTGCACTACCACGGGAAGCCCCAGCGGTTCCAGATCGCCCACGGCAGCGACTGGCCGCACGGCCCACTGCACTGCAGCGAAGTACTCGGCCGCCGTTTGGGCTCGCTCCATCAACTTCTCGGCCGCACATGTCCCGCAATCGCCCCTGACTGGCGCCGCGAGGCTTCAGGAGCTTGCGCACCTGGTCCAAATCGCCGTTCTCCAGGAGTCAATCGAGCCAGAACGCCCTGTCCATCTTTTACGTTTGAGGAAGGAGAGGGAGCGGACAGCACCACGGCAACGCACCATAGAAGAAGCACCACGGAGAGCACATAGCAGGCGGGCGTAAAATCAACGCCGAACTACCCGAAACAATCATTGCCCGGGCAGTTTCCGCACATCGGGAGCTGGAACGTCGCTGTCATAGTCTACCAGTGCACAGCTATCAGCGCAGGGCGCTGCCAGTAGACCGCGGAGGCTCTCAGCCAAACTTCCACTTGCAACGCTTGCCATCCTAAAATAATTCCCGATGGGGCACTGAAGGGCAATGTGCACTTTGGACGAGAGCCGGCTCGCTGCAGCCACGCGCAAGTTCCTTGCTCGGTCGGCGGGCAGCCAAAGACCACAACAGGTTTCTCCACGGGCAAGCTCGCGATTAAGGCGAATACTGTTCGCATTGCCGTAGTATCCGAGCCGATCTCGCGGACCATTACTACTTATGTGCGACGGGCGTCGCATGTCTGGGCGCTGCACCAAGACTGCCAAGACCCCCCGACCACCGACCTGCACCACTGCCCAACCACGGTCAGAGCAGTTACGGGCGACGGGGCATGGTCCGTTCCATCCGCCCCAATCGTCCTTGGCAGCGGTCGGACGGGGATGGTCCACGAGGTCCCCTGGCCGATAGTTGTGGCGCCCTGCTGCCGTCGTCTTTGCGCGTGGGGCCCTATTGGCCTTGGCTACTGCGGCGGCTTATATGATGGCCTCAATCCTTACTTATCTGATTATCTGCTCTCGGTTATGATCGGGCGTTTCCGTCCCCCGTTGGTCGTCCTGTACTGGTTGGTCTGGCAAGCGGGCCAATCGTCGTCTGGGCAGCGCTCGGCATGGTGATACCCCATGGTAGAACGTAAAGGCATTGCAGACAAATCGGCATTCGCGCAGTAATCGTGTGAGAACCATTTGTATGTTGAGCCGTTTTAGCTCCTCTCCCATCACATGTAAGGCATGCCTTAAGATCCCGTTGCGTACTTCACTGGCAGCGGCACGCTGGCCTCGAGCTCGAATGCGAAGTTCTGCGCCTCTAGCCTTCAGGACAGCTGCGGCAACAAATTGTTCAGAGCACCTTCACCGTCGGAAACCAGCACTGTGGCCGGACGGCGCTGCACCCGGCAGCTATGACAGGGATCTATCGCGCGCACCGTCCAGTCGGCAATCTCGTGGCCTACAGCCCAACGAATTCCTCGGTCGATGATAATAAACACATTGATTTTTGTAGAACATCGGGCCACACTCGACTTTCTCATTGAATTCGCCAGGGAGACATATCGAAGGCATAACAGCACGACCTGGTTTCTCCCAGGCTCTGCACTAACGGCATGACTCTACTAAACTTCAAATCATGT